AGTGGGCAAGGAGATCTGGCCTGAGCTTGGAACTAGTTGCCGAGCCTGGCTGTCGTGGTCTACGGTGTGGTATTTGGGGCAAGGGATTAATGATATAGTGTTTCTCAGAGAGTAAACCGAGGCTTTTTTTTCCTGATTAAAGCATAGAGAATAGTAGACTTCATTGTACTCCCTTAATGTAAAAACAAAATCTGTAAAAATGTAATTATTCATATGACATCATAAACACGTTTATTTATTAGTAGGCATCAATATTAATAACAAACAGTCATCTTAAATATTTAGCTTAAAAAAGGAAATATCAGTAGACAGACAACATGCCACCAAGGGTTTGGAGTCAGTTAAATCTAAAAATCCTTTTACTGAGTCATAGTAAGTGGTTCACTCAGTCCTGATTACTTAACTTTCTAAGCCTGGTTATCTTCACCTTTTAAACAGGAATAATAATTCCATTATTGCAGGATTATGGTGACAATATGAATATGTACTCAGATCAATACACAGTAACTATTAACAACATTCTTTTTGGTTTTCTTTGTAGAAACTGACTTGGTTTATCCTTTTGTTTTTATTTTTTCTGCTGAGGATATTAAATTTCTTGGGGGGGTGGGGGGAGGGAATGCATGTATATATTATCTGTGAACATAAGCCTATACAGGGGAAAATTTTAAGAAATTTCTCAACCAGCCCTGGCCAAGGTGGCTCAGTTGGTTGGAACATCATCCCATACACCAACAGGTTGTGGGCTCCCAATCAGGGAACATAACTAGGTTCCATCCCCAGTCAGGGCTGTGTGCGGGAGGCAACCAATCTGTTTTTCTCTTTTTTGCGTGCTGGAGGCAACCAATTGATGTGTCTCTCTCACATCGATGTTTCTCTCTCTCTCTCTCTCTCTCTCTCTCTCTCTCCCTCTTTTTCTTTTTCTTTTTTTAGAATCAATGGAAAACATTGCCTTGAGTGAAGATTTAAAAAAAGGAAATTTCTCAACCAGAAAATACAAAATATTGCTTTTTTGATGCCCTCACTTTGACCATTACATTATGAAGCTATACAGAGCAGATACCAGATATTTGCCTTCCCTGAGTTAGTCTTCCATTTGAGAAGTAGCCAAAACAAATATATACATAGGGTATGAAGGCAAAATAAGCAACAGATCACTTTACTATTAGTTGATGATTTCTAATAAGCTACTTTGAAATCTAGGGAATCTTATTTTGTTTCGTTTTGATAAAGCTAATACATAATCTCAGAACAGAGGAGACCATAAAGGTGGTGGTGCCAAATTCCTCATATCTGATTTTACCATCTGCTTCCAAGTGGAAAATATCTGATTCAAAAAAGAGCCTCGGCAACAAAATCTCAGACATATGCCAAAGCAATTTCTTCACTGATACAGCTCCTAGGGCAGTTGAAACTAAAGAGAAAATGAACAAATGGGACTACATCAAAATAAAAAGCTTCTGCACAGCAAAAGAAACCATCAACAAAACAACAAGAAAACCCACTGCGTGGGAAAACATATTTGCCAACGTCATATCTGATAAGGGCCTAATCTCCAAAATTTATAGGGAACTCATACAACTTAACAAAAAGAAGATAAACAATCCAATCAAAAAATGGGCAAAGGACCTAAATAGACACCTTTCAAAAGAGGACATTCAGAAAGCCAAGAGACATATGAAAACATGCTCAAAGTCACTAATCATCCGAGAGATGCAAATCAAAACAACAATGAGGTACCATCTCACACCTGTCAGAATGGCTATCATCAACAAATCAACAAACGACAAGTGCTGGAGAGGATGTGGAGAAAAAGGAACACTCGTGCACTGCTGGTGGGAATGCAGACTGGTGCAGCCACTATGGAAGACAGTATGGAGTTTCCTCAAAAAACAAAACATGGAACTCCCATTTGACCCTGTGATCCCACTTCTAGGAATATATCCCAAGAAACCAGAAACACCAATCAGAAAGGATATATGCACCCATATGTTCATAGCAGCACAATTCACCATAGCTAAGATCTGGAAACAGCCTAAGTGCCCATCAGTAGATGAATGGATTAGAAAACTGTGGTACATCTACACGATGGAATACTATGCTGCTGTAAAAAAGAAGGAACTCTTACAATTTGCAACGGCATGGATGGAGCTGGAGAGCATTATGCTAAGTGAAATAAGCCAGTCAATGAAGGAAAAATACCACATGATCTCACTCATTCATGGATAATAAAGACCATTACAAACTTTTGAACAATAAGATCAACCAAAGGACTTGTATGCATGCATATAAGCATAACTAATGGACATAAGACACTGGGGGGTAAGGGAGGGCAGGGGATTGTCAAGGGCGGGGGGAAAAAAGGACACATATGTAATACCCTTTGTAATACTTTTAGCAAAAAAAAAAAATTAATAAAAAAAAAAAAGAGCCTCTACTGGGGAAAAAATGTTCCCCCAATGCCTGAAGCCTGAAGCAAAGGTAGGATGAAACAATGGTTTTTGAACTCTTTAATAACATGAAAATCTAGTAAAAAATAGATATTTATATCTGGATTCATACACACACATGCGCCCACACATGCACATATGCACACGGAATAAAAAAGATTTCACAATCAATATATATTTAATTTTCCTGAGTGGAACAATTTGATATATTTAGTTCCATTTTAATTATGTTTCATGCCTAAATACAGTTCAGTGTCCATCTCAGTCTGGAATCTAAATTCGTGAATCAAAGTGAGGAGCAAGCATATTATTTTTCTGTTCTTATGAACCACACTTAGAAAAGCACATGTGAATTTACATCTTTCTTTCCCCTTCTTTTGGAGTCTACTTGAGAAAAGTGAGAATAATTTAGTATTTTTTCTTTTTTTTTTAAATTAATATGCACTTTTCAGAGCTTAACTCACAACTTAACATACATCCTGAATAGGAAATCTTCTCAAACAACTTACTCTCTTATCTTATCCTCAACCCAGGGCTGCATTAGCTGTCTTGATTTTTATGATTTCAAAACACCTTGTGCATTTCTCCCTCAGTGCTTTCCCATATGGTATGATGATGATATGATGATGATGATGAGTATTTATCTCTGTATCTGTGTGTGTGTTTCCCCACTATATGACCTCTTCAAGGTAGGGAGTAGGTCACTAGGGAAGACGATAAATACTAATTTTATGATAAAACAGAAAGGGTTAAAATGATATCTGCTAACTGATCTACACTGGGTGAGAATTTTTTCATTGTTGTTTTACACTAGTATAATGGTATTCTACCCACTTCTCCTGTATGCCAGCAAGCTGCTATATATTCTTATTATGTTTCTCAGATAGTGTATCTAAGGCAACAACAACAACAAAATAATCTCTCTCAACAAACCCTGAGAAAATTGTTCATGTATAAGTGAAATATCAGTCAAGCCAGCACAAATAGATGATCTCTATAAGAATGACCATTGTCTAATAAAATGAATCCTGATCAGTATACATAAATCTTCCCTGTGTTATTAGGATTTATTTTTAAATTTATCTATCAGTTTTTAAAATAGTCAACACACTGATATGCATTATTTAATGTGATAATAATTTTAAGTTTACTAAGGAGGTTTTATATATTTGTAGGGAAAAAATGACACTTAAACCAATCCCTGCTTTTTATTCAGTAGAATTCACACACAAAAAATAAATATTCATTAAGAAAATATATTACCGGCTTTGGTGATTGTCAAAACCACAGCGGTTTTTCCACACCTCAACTATGAGGTTCCCATACTAAAAAATCAGGTGTAAAAGACTACTTCTGTATACTTTCTGGTTACCAGAAGAATTTTAACTCCTGCTAACCTTTCTTGTCTCCAGCTACAGCTGTGTGTGAGTGTTGAGGGGAGGTGTTGAGTATGGCACAGAGTTGAGCTGGGTTTGACTATGTCAGTGTACCACCGGTTTCAGATTTCTCTAGTGTTACTCTATGCTTAAGGGGGGTTGATAGGGGTCTGTTTTTTCCCCACACTTACTCAATGTCTGCCTCACTCTCAGTTTCAGGTCTTACCTTGGTGCTATTCTTCAGAGACGGCCTTTCTCCATGTTCTTGTCCCTCTCCCAGAGTAGAGAGCTATCACCTGTGCTTATTGACGCAATGGTGGGGAAGAGTGACAGCTGGTAAGGGCCTTTTCCTCTTCTGAATAAGCCTGAGTCTTAGGCAGGCACTTGTTGGGGAGGGGACATGTGTGTAGAGTTGGGAGACCCTCTCAGTGATTCTCTGATCCCATAGCACTCCCAGCTGTATGTTTGTCCCAGCATAAATAACTGCCCCTCTCCCAAGAGTAGAGGTGGGTGGTTTTATTCCTGTTTCTTTCCCAGATGCAATAGGTTTTCATGAGAAAAAAAAAGAGGGGGGGAGGAGAGAGAGGGAGAACTCATTGGCATGGACTAGTGTGGTGATTACAGGGAGAGGGGGAATGGGGATGGAAGGTGGAAGAGGGCATAAAGGGAATAAATGGTGATGAAAAATTAAATTATTTTTTAAGTAAAAAGCCTGAGTCTTAGGCAGGCACTTGTTGGGGAGGGGACTTGTGTGTAGAGTTGGGAGACCGTCTCAGTGATTCTGTGATCCTATAGCACTCCCAGCATATATGACTGCCCCTCTCTCAAGAGTAGAGATGTGTTTTTTTTCCCCCTGTTCCTTTCCCAGATGCAATGGGTTTTCATGAGAAAAAAAAGGGAGTGGGGGGGAGAAGGAGAGAGAGGGAGAACTCATTAGCATGGACAAGTGTGGTGCTTGCTGGGAGAGGGGGAATGGGGATGAAAGGTGGAAGAGGGCATAGAGGGAATAAATGGTGATGAAAATTTAAATTAATTTTTTAAAAGGTAAAAAGCTTGCCCTAACTGGTTTGACTCAGTGGATAGAGCGTCGGCCTGCGGACTGAAAGGTCCCGGGTTCGATTCCGTCAAGGGCAAGATAGTGGAGATGATTCCTCAATGGCTGCTGGTCAGCTCCCCGAGGCCTGTACCACAGGGGATGCTGTCTGAGCTCTGTGGCCGGTGCTTTTGTTGAGCACTTGAAGAGGTCCCTGAGAATAACCTGTGAGTATGCATTTTCCTTGTGTCTGCATCCTCCTTCCTAAGGTTTCATATTTTGTCACCAGCCCATACTCCACTTAAAGGAATTTGTTAAAAAGTTTAGCTGAATTTGTACTGGTGTCTAGCAGTGTCTGTCCCAGGTAAGAAAATGCTTTGAGCTTCATCTGTCCTGAGGTGACTGTCTTTTCATAGATTGGGTTAGTTCATGGGGCTGTGATCTTAGCTCCTTGGTGAGTGCAAGAAGGGTTGTGAATTTACTGATTGTCCAGCATCTTCTGGGTGAAAGTGTTGTTTAATAGGTAAGAATGATGTTACTTCTAGTTTTCTACATTCTAGGTGAAAGCTAGAAATACTGTGAGTTGGTAATTTTTTAAAGCCATATATCCAAATCAACACACTGCATTGCATAATTGCATTTAAATTAATTCTGTGGGAGTTTTTATTTAGTCCCTTAAACATTAGAGTGCCAATATTTCTACAATGACATAAGGAGATAAGTTGGGGATGACCATAAATATCCTACATCAGCAAATACTTGGCTTTATTAAAATGCAAGGACAACATATTTGTAATGGCTTTCACAGGCTTATTGGCGACATTTTAATGCTGAATTTTTATTTCCTAATAGAGGCCTGGTGCACAAACTCGTGCACTAGTGGGGTTCCTCGGCCTAGCCTGTGGATTGGACTGAAACTGGTTCTCCAACATCCCCCAAGGGGTTCCAGATTGTGAAAGGGCACAAGCCAGGCCAAGGGACCCCACCGGTGCACGATCAGGGTCGGGGCGGAAGGGACCCCACTGGTGCACGATTGGGGCCGGGGAGGGACTGCGGGACCCATCTTGCTTAGTCCTGATCAGCCAGACCCCAACAGCAAGCTAACCTACCAGTCTGAGCATCTGCCCCCTGGTGGTCAATGCACGTCATAGCGAGTGGTTGAGCGGCCTTAGAATACCATTAGCATATTACACTTTGATTGATTGAACGGACAACTGGACAACCAGACACTTAGCATATGAGCTTTTATTATATAGGATGGAGTTTCCATTTCTTCAACAAAAAAAGCTTGCTACCATGAAGGATTCCAGAACCAAATTCTCACAGTTAAAGTAGGGTTATTTTATGATCTTTGTAGCCATGATATTCAAATATTATTACTATTTGATATGGAGATATTAATATAACATGTGCAAAAATGATGTTATAATATTTAATACTATCAATATATTTTTTAGAAGCCACATAATAGTCTTTTATGGTCATACTAGCTTATTAGTAACACCTGTCCTAACATATTTTGGGGACACAACATCTCTTTCCTATTTTGTATAACTGCTGGAAATCAGTGTAATGTTTGTTCATGTACTTATGCAGATTCAGACCTATTGTTTTAAATGGCCAATATATGCACTGTTGTGTAGAAACAAATGTTTCTCTCTTAATGTTTAAATTATTTCTATCTTAAATTTACAACTGGATATCAAATATATTACCTGCATATATTTTTTTAAAAATATGATTTTTTTCTTTAACATTAATAGTAATACTTTTATCAACTGTTAAAAATAAAATATTAAGATGGTTAAATATGGAAAGTTGACTTTTTGGACTATTTCTACTGTAATCAGTTTTTGGAATATGTAGTTGATTCCCTCAAATCCTCCAAAACTTAACAATGACATTTTGACTAGAAATACCAAGGGGAACACTCTGTGGAGTATGTGAATGTCTAACCAGTATGATGTACTCCTGAAGCTAATACAGACTAATATTGAATATAAACTGTAATTGAAAAATAAATCTAATAAATAAAAAATAACAAAAGGAATTGATACTTATGAAAAGCTTATATTAAACATTCTTCCCAGTTATTTAAACTCTATGTTTTTAGTGTCACATCATCTGAATTTTTCTAGATTATAACACTTAGGGCCATTGTGTGAATACTGTCAGTGTATATAGGTTTAATTATAAGCATTTCCATTTTTCCAGAAAGGCAACATAAACACTGTCCGTCAGAAGAATCCTTTATTCTCTGCAAAGTCCAAATGGAAACAGTTGCTAATTATGTTACTTAATGAGCCTTATATTAAAATTTGTATGAAAAATACATGCTGGAATTGGTATCAGGGAAAAGAATATCCTTCCAGAAATAATTGGTATGTTTTGTTGTTTGGACAAATATAGCAATATATACCTTTATATTTCCTTTCTGCTTTTGTTTACAAAAAACTATAACTTGACCAAAGTGTTGGTACTCTGTATTCATTTGCTTTTCTGTTAAATATTTGAATGAGTTATTTTTACTTGTCTATAATATTTATTTCAACATTATAAATCACCATTATTTTTGCAGTTAAAAGGAAATTATTTTAAAATACGTGATAATCAGTTGAAAGCTTCCTTTTATTTAAGCATATGCAGTTGACATGTCATTGATGCATTGCTTAACTGTAATTTATGTATGTCTTTTGAAGGATACAGTCATTTAGCTCTTACTGTTTTACATGCTTGTTTTATGATGAGGAGCGTTTAATCTGAGAGTTGGCTCAGAAATGCTCTTATTACATTTTTTAAAAGTATGATCACCACTGATAGCATAATAGAACAAATTTTATTTTAAGACAGTAAGGTTTAGTGTAGTCGTAGGAGGCAAGCTCTCTAACAGGAATTTCTACATTTGATCCTAGCTCCAATTATTATTTGTGTTTTCTACTTAATCTCATTAAGACTTAGTTTCTACACACATAAAATAGTACTATGACAATAGTACCTGCTATCAAAGCCTGTTGTGAAGAAAAGTACAAATTCATGCAAAACACTAAGCATTATATCTGGCACTTAAAGTCTCGGGAATATTAAGGAGGTGCCACAAATTGGACAGGGAGAACAACAAAGTGAGGTCTCACAGTAACTTCAAAATCTATTTAACTTCTTTATGCAATTTTTTCTCCAAACTGAATATTTGTGGGGAGGGTTAACCTCCCTCTGATGTAAAAATTTATATTTTAATATAAAAATTTGGAAAATGCAGAAAAACAAGCTGCAAATATAAATGATTATTTTCTCCACTAAGAGATAATCAGTTAATATTTTGTGTTTTTATTTTCAATTTTATTTCTTATAAATTAAAGAATATAAACATGATTCGTTGAAATCATAGGAATAAATAGTGCAATGTGTGATAGCCCCTGGGGATGTATAATGTGAAAAAAAGGAGATTTCTGGTTGCTTAAAAGTCTGTGGTCAATGGAAGAAAATATTTGCAAATCATGTATCTGGTAAGGGGTTAATATCCAGAATATACAAGAAACTTTTACAACTCAAAACAAAAAAGCAGAACCTAATTAAAAATGAGCCAAGGACTTGAAACTGCCAATTCATCTAACTAAGTCATTTTACCCTTCAAGTGATACTCAAAACAAAAAAGCAGAACCTAATTAAAAATGAGCCGAGGACTTGAAACTGCTAATTCATCTAACTAAGTCAAGTCATTCTACCCTTTAAGTGACCGTTTCCTACTTAAAAACAGATTTAATAGCTTTGTCAATTGCGTGGGCATAAGAAGGCAGAGTCCCTCCTTGTCCATTGAAAGATATACTACACCTACATCCAGGTACATGCAGAGTATTGGTTCACTTCTATTTGGTTGAAATGCCAGAACAAATATTTTGTTAAACTCAGATAACTCTTCTGGATACTAATTAATACAAGGGAATTAGAATCCTTCCTTATTCTGTGGAATCCTAAGAAGGCTATTGAGCTTAAAATAGTGCCAATGCAGAGTTATTCCCTTCCCCAGATCAATAACCTGTTCAGTCAATGATAAAATTGGGATACATATGGATCAAAAAAATGTAATTTTCAGGAATTTTAGAAATCTTTAACTGTGAAGTGAGTTTTGGAATTACTTTAGGAACTGAGAATTCAGTTAACTTTTTAAGCTTAGGCTCCCAGTCATGTTTTTAAGATAAGATAGGTTAAGCTTGTTGTATCATATATTGTGTATTATGATATCAATATTACCACTGACCTGCCTGACAGTAATATTATATGGACAGCCAACTGAATAGCTAGGATATCTTTATTTCAGTCTTTTTATTCTATTACTAAAGCTATAATTCATTGCTTGAATGGACAAACATAAAATATTACATAAAACTCAAGTTTAAATGCAAAGACCTTTTCTTTTTTACAGTTAACATTGCTATCTGCAAAGCTAAAAAGTTATTTTCCAGACCAGAACTTGAAGCTTCTATTCATCATTTTCTTAACTAAATCTGCCTTTTAGCATATTTCCCCCTGTCAGTGAGTTCTCCTAGCATTTTACTTTGAGCAGTGCTTGCATTTATTTTTGACAGAGGTTGGCCTTATTACAAAACCATCCATTTAGATCAATAAATTTCACATAACAATTGTTGACTAAGCCAATATCCTCTCCTTTAAGACTTTGGGATACAATGCAAGTACTGCATGTTTTTGCCACCTGACATTTTAATTTCACGGAGGGGTCACATAGACATTTTAGACCTGATGTCTACCACCCTGTGGACTAGTTCAGTCACCACAAGTTGTTGCTTTGAATATCAGAGATCAAAGGAGTGAATTGTATTTTTAAAAATTCATTCTCAGTACACCCCAATGCGTTCATTCTGAATATCTAGAAATGTTTATATCAATGTATATGGAATGGCTGAATTACAAATCTGGGGTGCGACTTAACCTCTCCGTCTCCTTCACGACACCCCAATACATGCTGATTCCCCACATTCACTGTTTCCTAAATATCCTACGATCCTTATCATTATCTTCTTTTCATAGCCACTTCTGCCATAGGACACCATCGCACTGTCACTGGGACTATTGCAACAGGCTCCAAACTAGTATTTGTGCTGCAGTGCTGGCTTCTTGTAATCTTTTCTCTACAGTGACATAAAAAAGAGCTTTCTTAGAACAGAATGCAGGTTGGATCTCCCATACTTTAATAGGACATAAAATATGCTCT